TTTGGAAAATTCATTCACAAAAAAAATTCATTTATTTTTTCGGGAAATGCCATTTTTTCTTCTATCACTCATTTTAAAACCCTAATTTGTTTTTTGTTTTGCAAATTAAAAATTTTGAATATATATATGTTATTTTTATTGTTATAAATTTATTTTTTGATCAAATACATTCACAGCCTCTTCAGCATTAAATTAATATTAAAAAAATAAATAATAATTTTTACAGTAAATAAAATAAATATATATATCAAAATAATATTCTTACAAATAAAAAATTACAGCTTACAAACTAGAATTTAATATTATTTTTATTATTATTTTTTTTTTAGTAAATTATATTTGCATTATTACAAAGATTCGATAATAAAAATATATTTTGCATTCCATATAAAGGCATCTGAACTCAATATTGTATCTGCCAGGCCAAAGATTTTTATTCAATGTTGAAATAGATTAGCAAAGAGAAACACCCCGATTGTACATTAATCCATAGGAGATATTCACCTACCCAGGAGTGAGAGGTGGGCCAAGAAGGGGAGGGTGACCTAACAATATAAGTTATGATTAAATGCGTACAAAGTAATTTATCAAAATGGAACAATCGTCGACAATGTGCATGATGATGATGACGCTTACAACAACAATAATGCTGCCAATATATCGAACAAAATTTACTTATGGACATTATTGCCACTGCAACTGTTGCTATGATTGATACATGGGCACAGTGGGTAACAATACCAATAAATTTTTCAATAGAAAAAATAAAATTTTTTGGAACAAGTTGAGTTTAGGGGCTCATCTCCGATTTTTCTGAAATTTTTGTCATAGGTAGATCTCGTCTCCCTGATCACGAAAATATATGACTTTCATGGGGAAGTCCATAATTCCCGAGATATGGACCTCTAAAGTTCCGAAATTCCTATGCTCATAACTTCGTTATTTATGAATCGGTGAAGGTAATATTGGTATGATTGTAAAGCGTACACATTATATTTCCACTTAAATTCGTCTTAATTAAAAATTATCCGAAATAGCCGGCCTTCGGCCGGGGATTTAAGACTTTTTCCTATGGACAGGCGGAAAGTTCGGCTAACGCATCAACAATGTTTTTTAAACTATTTTTTTCTAAATAGCCGGCCTTCGGCCGGGGATTTAAGACTTTCTGCTATGGACAGGTGGAAAAATTGGCTACGCGATTAAAATTTCCTTTATATCAAAGTTTTTCGTATATAGCCGGCCTTCGGCCGGGTAATTAAGACTTTCTCCTATGGACAGGCGGAAAATTCGGCTAACGCATCAACAATGTTTTTAAACTAATTTTTTTCTAAATAGCCGGCCTTCGGCCGTGGATTTAAGACTTTCTGCTATGGACAGGTGGAAAAATTGGCTACGCGATTAAAATTTCTTTTATATCAACGTTTTTCTTATATAGCCGGCCTTCGGCCGTGGATTTAAGACTTTCTCCTATGGACAGGCGGAAAATTCGGCTAACGCATCAACAATGTTTTTAAACTAATTTTTTTCTAAATAGGCGGCCTTCGGCCGGGGATTTAAGACTTTTTCTATGGACAGGTGGAAAAATTGGCTACGCGATTAAAATTTCTTTTATATCAACGTTTTTCTTATATAGCCGGCCTTCGGCCGGGGATTTAAGACTTTCTCCTATGGACAGGCGGAAAATTCGGCTAACGCATCAACAATGTTTTTAAACTAATTTTTTTTCTAAATAACCGGCCTTTGGCCGGTTATGGCTACGCGATTAAAATTTCCTTTATATCAAAGTTTTTCTTATATAGCCGGCCTTCGGCCGGGGATTTAAGACTTTCTCCTATGGACAGATAGAAAATGCGATCGAAATTTTCTTTTAAATAAACATGTTTCTCTAAATATCCGTCAATATTACCATTGTCGGCCTATAAATGTCCAAGTTATGAGCATATGAATTCCGGAACTTCAGAGGTCCATATCTCGGGAAATATGTGTTTCCCCCATGAATGTCATATATTTTCGTGATCAGGGAGACGAGATCTACCTGTGGTAAAAATTTCAGAAAAATCGGAGATGAGCCCCTAAACTCAACTTAAGCCAATTTTTTTATAGAAAAAAAAATAATAAAAAAAAATAACAACCGGATACTTTTTTTATAAAAAAATTATACGGATACGTTTTTCTATAAAAATAAAAACCTTTTTTATAAAAAAAAAACTATCCGGATACATTTTCTATAAAAAAAATTATCCGGATACCTTTTTCTATAAAATTTATCTGGATACCATTTTCATAGAAAAAAATTATCAGGATGAATTTCTCATAGAAAAAAATATCCGGATGACTTTTTCATAGAAAAATATTTATCCGGATACATTTTTTCTAAAAAAATAGCAGGATTCATTTTTTTCATAGAAAAAAATCTAATCGGGTTCATTTTTTGATAGAAAGAAATCTACCCGCATAAGTTTTTTCTATAAAAAAATGTATCCGGATATTTTTTCTATGAAAAAATATATCCGTGTAATTTTTTTCTATGTGAAAGTGTATCCGGATAATTTGTTTTCAATAAAAATATATCCGGATAATTTTCTTTTAAAAAAATTTAATTCGGAAAGCAAAAAAATAATAAAAAATATCATCCGAATGTCTTTTTTTATAAAAAAAACTATCCGGATACCATTTTCTATAAAAAAATTATCCGGATACCTTTTTCTATAAAAAGTTATCTGGATACCATTTTCATAGAAAAAATGTTCCTAAAACAAATATCCGGATTCATTTTTTCATAGAAAAAATCCACACGGATAAGTTTTTTTCTATAAAAAAATGTATCCGGATATTTTTCTATGAAAAAATATATCCGTATAGTTTTTTCTATGAGAAAGTGTATCCGGATAATATGTTTTCAATAAAAAATGTATCCGGATAATTTTCTTTTAAAAAAATTGAATTAGGATAGCAAATAATATTTTTTTTTTTAATAAAAAATGTATCCGGATAATTTTCTTTTACAAAAATTGAATTCGGATAGCAAAAAAATAATAATAAAAACATCCGGATACCTTTTTTACAAAAAAAAAAAAAAAAAAAAAAACTATCCGGATACCCTTTTCTATAAAAAATATCCGGATACCATTTGCATAGAAAAAAATTATACGGATGACTTTATCATAGAAAAATATTTATCCGGATACATTTTTCCTAAAAAAAAATCCGGATTTATTTTTTCATAGAAAAAAATCTACCCGGATAAGTTTTTTCTATAAAAAAATGGAATATATCCGTCTAATTTTTTTCTATGTGAATGTTTATCCGGATAATTTGTTTTCAATAAAAAATGTATCCGGATATTTTTTTTTAACAAATTGAATTTGGATTGCAAAAAAAATAATAAAAAATAATATCCGGATACATTTTTTATAAAAAAACTAGAAGGATACCCTTTACTATAAAAAATATACGGATACCATTTTCATAGAAAAAAATTATCCGGATGAATTTTTCATAAAAAATATTTATCCGGATATATATTTCCTAAAAAAATATACGGAATTATTTTTTCATAGAAATAAATTTTTTTTCTATAAAAAATGTATCCGGATATTTTTCCTATGAAAAAATATATCCGTGCAATTTTTTTCTATGTGAAAGTGTATCCGGATAATTTGTTTTCAATAAAAAATGTATCCGGATAATTTTCTTTTAAAAAAATTGAATTCGGATAGCAAAAAAATAATAAAAAATAACATCCGGATACCTTTTTTATAAAAAAAAACTATCCGGATAGCCTTTACTATAAAAATAATTTTCGGATACCTTTTTTATAAAAAAAAAACTATCCGGATACCTTTTGCTATAAAAAATTATCTAGATACCATTTTCATAGAAAAAAAATTATCCGGATGAATTTCTCATAGAAAAAAAATTATCCGGTTGACTTTATCATAGAAAAATATTTATCCGGATATATTTTTCCTAAAAAAATATTCGGATTTATTTTTTCGTAGAAAAAAAATCTACCCAGATACATTTTTTCATAGAAAAATGTTTATCTGTATACATTTTTCCTAAAAAAATATCTAGATTCATTTTTTCATAGAAAAAATCTACACGGATACATGATACCAATGAATATATGCGGATACATTTTTTATAAATAATATTTATTTTATTTTTCAAAAAAAAAAAAAAAAAAAAAAAAAAAATCCTAATACATTTATAAAAAATATCCGGATACATTCTTTTATAGAAACAAATTTATTCGAATACATTTTTTTCATAGAATGTTACCAAAAAAATGTATCCAAATACATTTTGTCATAGATAATATTTATCCGAATACATTTTTCATCGAAAGAAAAATTTCCGGAAATAGGAATAGAAATTTATACGAAAATAATTTTTTTTCTATGAAAAGAAAATTTTTTTTCTATGAAAAATTGTAACCTGGATATTTTTTTTTTCCACGAAAACATGTATCCGGATAATATTTTTCTAGTAAAAAATATATCCGGATACTTTTTTTCTATAAAAAATTATTCGTATAATTTTTTCGGATTTGTTTTCTAAAAAGATCATCTAAATTAATTTTTCTATGGAGTCTAAATGTTTCTAAATTTTGTTAGCTTCAACCCACTGTGCCACAGTAGCTGTATCATAAATCACTCAATATTTTCTTTTATTTTGAAAATTACCAATATTATTTGAGTTGTGGTTGATTTCATTTTAGTCAATGGAAAATAAATCAAAATTCCAATCAAAAACTCATTATTTTTCTGGGGGGAAATAAAGCGGAAAATTGTGGACAAAGGATCAACAGATTTTTTTTCCATTTTTTGTTGAATAAACTCCATACATAAATCATAAAAATTAGCTTTGTATTATCTAATAATATCGCAACTACTACTACATATACACATAAATAAATACAATACACTTACAACAGTTAATGGTTAATGATTAGCTTAGCTTATCCTACGGACCTACCGACCGACGGGCCACTACAACTACAAACGCTGATGCATTTTACAATTCCCATTGCAATTGATGACCGACCATACCCAATCCACGTAATTCGGCACCTTGGCATAGATACCGAATTTATTCCGTTTGGCACAGCCATCACCGAATGAGGTAATGCCAAAAATGGTCCATGGATGATTGGGTTTGGTATTATCACGACAGAGCAGTGGGCCACCAGAATCACCGGCACATGTGTCAATCCGGCCACGTTTATGACCCGCACAAAACATATTTTTCGTAATCGTGTAATCGTAATATACCGAACGACAATTATCCATAGAAATTATGGGTACTTCCGCCTGATGCAGGACACTCGTGCCGGCCACATCACGATTACGACGTTTACCCCAACCAATTACGGTGCATTCAATATTTTTCGGCAACGGTTGATAGGGTTTGGGTAGGCAGGAGAAGCCAATCCAGGTTGTGGTATTAACGGGTTTGGGGAGTCTGCAAATATAATTCAAAAGTTTTTTATTTCAGTTTTTAAAAAGTTTTCAAACCGAACTTACTTCAGCAAGGCAACATCACTGTCCACAGTTTTCTTATCGAAATTCGGATGCTTATAGCTTTTCAGAACCTTCAAATGCAGCTCCGTGCCATCCTCATGATCCAGATTATGTTCACCCAGGCGGACGTACAACACCTTTCGTACACAATGGGCGGCCGTCAGGACCCATTGGGGTGCAATCAAGGTGCCACCACAAAATGCCTCCTGAAAGACAACAAAATAAGGGACCCATTAATATAAGAAATATTTTGAATATTGGTTCCTCCCCTACCTTAAAACGATTAAAAATCGCCACCTGCCATGGCCATTCACCTTTGCGTGCCGCCTTCCCTCCGATTATCTTCAACATATTATACATATTCCGTTTATTACTTCGGATCGGAGCAATACCACATTTCAATTTCATTGGGGTGTATTCGGGTCCACGATAACCCTTACCGTTCATAATGAAATCACTGACAATTGAATTCGAGATGGGACCATCATCACTGATATCTCGTCTTCGGGTGGCCGATGGTCGTAACTCATAGGCGGGTATTTTTTGCACCTGGGCCTGCAGCCATTGTTGGCAAAAACTTCCCTCGGTGTAGCAGTAGGCTATTTCGCGAAGAACCTCCCGGCCGCACTGTTCACGAACGCGACATTTTCTGGAAGGCCAAACAAGAAGAAGAGAAAATAAATCAGATGAATTTTTCATAGAAAAAAATTTATCCGGATGAATTTCTCATCGAAAAAAAATTTATCCGGATGAATTTTTCATCAAAAAAAAATTTATCAAGATGAATTTTTCATCAAAAAAAAATTTATCCGGATGAATTTTTCATCGAAAAAAAATTTATCCGGATGAATTTTTCATCGAAAAAAAATTTATCCGGATGAATTTTTCATCGAAAAAAAATTTATCCGGATGAATTTTTCATCGAAAAAAAATTTATCCGGATGAATTTTTCATCGAAAAGAAATTTATCCGGATGAATTTTCCATCGAAAAAAAATTTATCCGGATGCATTTTTCATCGAAAAAAAATTTATCCGGATGAATTTTTCATCGAAAAAAAATTTATCCGGATGAATTTTTCATCGAAAAAAAATTTATCCGGATGAATTTTTCATCGAAAAAAATTTATCCGGATGAATTTTTCATCGAAAAAAAATTTATCCGGATGAATTTTTCATCGAAAAAAAATTTATCCGGATGAATTTTTCATAGAAAAAAATTATCCGCATGAATTTTTCATAGAAAAAAAATTATTTGGATGAATTTTTCATAGAAAAAAATTTATTTGGATGCATTTTTCATAGAAAAAAATTTATCCGGATGAATTTTTCATAAAAAAAAAAATTCATCCGGATGAATTTTTCATAGAAATAAATTTATCCGGGTGAATTTTTAATAGAAAAAAATTTATCCGGAAGAATTTTTCATAGAAAAAAAATTATCCGGATGAATTTTTTATAGAAAAAAAATTATCCGGATGAATTTTTCATAGAAAAAAATTTATCCGGATGAATTTTTCATAGAAAAAAATTTATCCGGATGAATTTTTCATAGAAAAAAATTTATCCGGATGAATTTTTCTTAGAAAAAAAGTTTATCCGGATGAATTTTTCTTAGAAAAAAAGTTTATCCGGATGTGTTTTTCATAGAAAAAAAATTTATCCGGATGAATTTTTCATAGAAAAAAAATGTATCCGGATGAATTTTTCATAGAAAAAAATGTATCCGGATGAATTTTTCATAGAAAAAAATTTATCCGGATGAATTTTTCATATTCAAGCGGATAATTTTTTGTACACTTTTTCATAACAAAAATGTATCCGGTTATCTTTTTTAGAAGAAAATATTATCCGAATATCCGATCCGATCTACTTACTTATATCTCCGCGTCGTACACTTCGGTGTACACTTTGTCCATCGACTCCATTTCGAATAGATTCGTCTATGCTTGGGAATTAAATGTTCGGGTGTGGCACGCTCCCGAATCGGTTGAACAGCAGCACCCGTCACATTTCGATATTCGTTATAGTCACCGAACTCTTCATAGGACATATCGCCGGCCTGCTCCTGATTATCACCATGGCTCAAATCAATATCGAAGTCATCATATTGGAATACCTCACCCTCAGATCCATCATCGAATGTTTTCACTTCCTGACGGTGGTGGCGTTGATTATGTCCACGATGTCTATGGTGCGGTTGATTGTATCTCTGCCGTCTTGATGATGTTCTCGACCCACCACTGTGCCGTATCGTTTTTACATTTGTCGTCGATGACTGCAAATATTCACTGGGCGATTGTGCCGAACCCAATTCATTTAGAGCATCTTCTGCCTGCTCTTCGGAATAATCATTTAGTTGCTGCTGCAGGGGAATATCGGGGTAGGTTACATCTGGTCGAGGGGTATGATTACGATTTGGCCTTTTCCTTTTCGCCTTTATGACGAAAAAATCTATTTCCTCACTGTCGTCGTCCGCCTCTCCCCAATACTCGTGACGACCGCCACCACTCGTGCTGCTCACTACATGTTCGGCAACAAGTTCCTCACTTTGTATGACAGGATGTTGGCTGTACAACTCGGTTGGTTTGCCAACCGCTACACTCAGTGTGGGCTGATGCGTCTGGCTGCCAACACTTGTTGCCGTTGCAGCTACGGGAGCTGTGGCAGCAGCTGCTGCCGCATTAATGACAATTGTCGGGGCTGTGTTGCTGGTGTGTTGTTGTTGCTGCTGTTGGACACCATGCGGTGGTAGACTGCTTGACGTGCTTGTTGACCATTTACCATGATGATCCACCTCAGCCGGATGACATCTAAAAAGCAAAGAAATGAAATTAGTCATGTCGAGACATATTACATTTGGAGGAGATTTATTTGTTGGACCCACAAATGGACCATGTTGCTCTAGTAGGAAATGTCAGTATAAATGTGATTGTGTGGGTGAACATATGTGTGTGCCTCCGTCCAATTGGGTCAGTTTGTGAAAGGTAATGTTAAATAAAAAATGACTTTATTTAATTTTGAAAAAATCATAGAAAAAGTTTATCCGGATACAATTTTTTTACAGAAAAAAATACCCGAATAAATTCATTTATAGAAAAAATTGGATCAGACCAATTTTTTTATTTATCCCGATGAATTTTTCAATAGAAAAAAATTTATCCGCATGAATTTTTCATAGAAAAAAAATTATCGGGGTGAACTTTTCATAGAAAAAGAATTTATCCGGATGAATTTTTCGTAGAAAAAGAATTTATCCGGATGAATTTTTCGTAGAAAAAAATTATCCGGATGAATTTTTCATAGAAAAAAAAATTATCCGGATGAATTTTTTCTTAGAAAAAGTTTATCCGGATACAGATTTTCATAGAATTTTTTTTTAATTGCCACAAAAATTAGGCCAAATTAATGAATGATTACTCCAAAGATAACCGAATCTTTTGTTTGGCTTCAAACCTTTTGTTCTTCTGACTTCACCAAAAATTAATCAGCCATTAATCACACATACATACACACACAATAATGACACACTCCATTAAGTCTGATCTCAATAAAACCCAACTTCAGAACTTCAATTTATTTAACACTCCATTTAACACTGACAATGACTCAATTTTTGATGAATAGGCCCAGAATATTTCATTCAACCCCCTCCCATTTCGGGAATACTTACCGTCGACATTTGCGCTCTTCAATATGTTTCGTATGGCCACATTTCCGTTTGATTTTACAGTGACGCTCCCGCCGCTTCATACAGTCTGGTGAACACGACGACCATGGAGACCATTGTCCGAAAAAGTACTGTTGATCGTGATGGTGGCGATGATGGTGGCGCGATGGTCGCCGTCGTGGCGTCCATCTGTGATACGGAGGATGTCGTCGATGATAGTGACGGCGGTTCTCATTGGCATACACCCGATGCACCCTTTGTCCATTGTGCCAGTGATGGAAATGTTTTTGATTAGGCCGTTCCCGTTCCTCAAACTGTCGTCTTCTATTCGGTTCCTCTGTTAGCGGTTGTGGCTCCACGCTCTGAGGGTGTGCTGTTGTTGATGATGCCAGCAAATGACCTATTGAAGCGTTAACTTCCGCTGGTATCTGCTGTTTAGCCAATTGAGGAACATGACTACTCTGTAATGAGCCAAAAAATGGAGACGGAACAAAAGAAAAACACAAGAGTCACATTAAAACAAAAGTGAAAAACTCCGTATGGCTGTCACCCCTTCGCCCAGAATTGGGCGAGGAGGTAAGGTAAACTGATATGATGTGAACTTTATAGGTTTTAAGGTTTAAGGTTTTGTTGTGTCTGGCATCTCTTGGCAAACATGATTTATGAATCACGTTTTGTGGCTTTGGATGTGGCTTGGAGATGTCTCTTTGGTTAGGATTTCTGTTTTGTCGCCGCCTTTTTTAGTCAACCATCCAACCAACCGACAAACTTCTATGCCTTGAATGGCTATCAAACATACAACATGTGATATGTTTTCCTCGACATGATGGGATATTAGTTTCAAATTGACTATTGGTTTCATGTTTGGATTCTTGTATTTGAAATATTCATCAGTGTCTTAGATGATGAATGGTATTGATTCATAAATTCACAACAAGGCATTCATCGTTAAGCTAAATTCTGAGTTTTCAGGCAAAACTTATGAAAAAATTGTATTTTGATAATCTTTTTAATTAAAAAATTCATCCGGATAATTTTTTTCTATGAAAAATTCATTCCGATAAATTTTTTTCTATAAATAATTCATTCGGATAAATTTTTTTCTATGAAAAATTCATCCTGATAAATTTTTTTCTATGAAAAATTCTTCCGGATAAATTTTTTCCTATGAAAAATTCATCCGGATAAATTTTTTCCTATGAAAAATTCATCCGGATAAATTTTTTCCTATGAAAAATTCATCCGGATAAATTTTTTCCTATGAAAAATTCATCCGGATGAATTTTTTTCTATCAAAAATTCATCCGGATAAATTTTTTTTCTATGAAAAATTCATTCGGATAAATTTTTTTCTATGAAAAATTCATCCGGATAAATTTTTTTCTGTGAAAAATTCATCCGGATAGATTTTTTTCTATGAAAAATTCATCCGGATAGATTTTTTTCTATGAAAAATTCATCCGGATAAATTTTTTTCTATGAAAAATTCATCCGGATAAATTTTTTTCTATGAAAAATTCATCCGGATAAATTTTTTTCTATGAAAAATTCATCCGGATAAATTTTTTTCTATGAAAAATTCATCCGGATAAATTTTTGTCTATGAAAAATTCTCCCGGATAAATTTTTGTCTATGAAAAATTCATCCGGATAAATTTTTTTCTATGAAAAATTCATCCGGATAATTTTTTTTCTATGAAAAATTCATCCGGATAAAATTTTTTCTATGAAAAATTCATCCGGATAAATTTTTTTCTATGAAAAATTCATCCGGATAAATTTTTTTCTATGAAAAATTCATCCGGATAAATTTTTTTCTATGAAAAATTCATCCGGATAAATTTTTTTCTATGAAAAATTCATCCGGATAAATTTTTTTCCTATGAAAAATTCATCCGGATAAATTTTTTTCTATGAAAAATTCATCCGGATAAATTTTTTCTATGAAAAAATCGTCCGAATAAATTTTTTTCTATGAAAAATTCATCCGAATAAATTTTTGTCTATGAAAAATTCATCCGGATAAATTTTTGTCTATGAAAAATTCATCCGGATATTTTTTTTTCTATGAAAAATTCATCCGGATAAATTTTTTTCTATGAAAAATTCATCCGGATAAATTTTTTTCTATGAAAAATTCATCCGGATAAATTTTTTTTCCTATGAAAAATTCATCCGGATAAATTTTTTTTCCTATGAAAAATTCATCCGGATAAATTTTTTTTCCTATGAAAAATTCATCCGGATAAATTTTTTTCTATGAAAAATTCATCCGGATAAATTTTTGTCTATGAAAAATTCATCCGGATAAATTTTTGTCTATGAAAAATTCATCCGGATATTTTTTTTTCTATGAAAAAATCATCCGGATAAATTTCTTTCTATGAAAAATTCACCCGGATAATTTTTTTTCTATGAAAAATTCATCCGGATAAATTTCTTTCTATGAAAAATTCATCCGAATGAAGACGATATGTGCCAACTATAGAGGAATAAGTCTCCTTCCCATCGCATATAAAGTGCTATCCAGTGTGCTGTGTGAATGATTGACCAGATTTTCACTCTGCGCCAAATCCTGGAAAATACCCACGAAAAACACATCGACACATACCACCTATTTGTCGACTATAAAGCCGCATTCGACAGCCCTATCCGTTCAGAGGTGTTTAAAGCCATGTCTGCGTTCGGCATTCCTGCAAAATTAATACGGCTATGCAGGATAACTTTAAGTGGCACAAAATCAGCCGTTAAAGTAGGAAAGGACCTATCGGAGCCCTTCAATACCGAACGAGGATTCAGACAAGGTGACAGTTTGTCGTGATCTTTTTAACATCCTACTGGAAAAGGTCATACGCCGATGACATCGATATAATGGGTCGAACATTGCGAGCGGTAACAGCCACCTTTGAACAAATTGAAAAGGAGTCTGCCAAAGTGGGTCTGGCAGTAAACGGCGAGAAGACCAAGCTGATGGTATCAACGCGCAAGACGTCCAGTAGACGCGGACCAACTGTGGAACTTGAGAACTACAGCTTCGAGGTAGTTAAAGACTTTATATACCTTGGTACCGCCATAAATAAAACGAATAATATCAGTTTTGAAATTCGGAGAAGGATTGTGATGGCCAACAGATGCTACTATGGTCTAAGTAAGCAGTTTAGAAACAAGGCCACCTCTCGCCAGACCAAACTCACACTTTACAGGACGCTGATACTACCCGTGATATTATATGGATCAGAAGCATGGGTACTTGTGCAAGCAGATGAGGCAGCGCTTGGGGTGTTTGAGAGAAAAATTCTCCGAAAGATCTACGGGCCGATCTGCGTCGACGGTGAATATCGGCGTCGAATGAACCATGAACTTTACAATTTGTACGCGGACATCGACATAGTCAGTCGTATTGAGCTGCAGCGACTACGGTGGCTAGGCCATGTTGTGCGGATGAATGAAAATGCCCCAGCTCAAAAGGCATATAAAAATGAGCCTACTGATGGTTCCCGTAGAAGGGGAAGGCCACGAATTAGATGGAATGACCATGTAGAAAACAACATCTTGGAACGTGGTCTTCCAAATTGGTGGACTTGCGCACAAGACCGACACGCTTGGAAATCTTTTTTAAGCTCGGCTTATGGAACAACCGTTCTGTAACAAGCTAGCTAAGTAAGTAGAATTTTTTTCTATGAAAAATTCATCGGAATGAATTTTTTCTATGAAAAATTCATCGGAATGAATTTTTTCTATGAAAAATTCATCCGGATAATTTGAAATTTGAATGAAAAATAGTCTTTAAATAAATCGTCGATTATGGGATATTTGAAAAAAAAATATTTAAAAAAAAAATCCACATCTTTGGTTTTTGCCTCCATTTCAAAACATTGTTTTGATCTATTCTATATTTCGGATCAATAACATCGTGGTCTACTCCGATGTCTTTTTAGCCACAGTCTGTTGATGGCGGTTTGGTTCATCGTTGTCCCGCATGTTTTTTATTGTTATTGTTGTTGTTTTTTTTTTTTCAATTCTCATTGTCGTCTTTTTGCGGTAAGATTTCCCTCGTTTTTAATTTCCATCCAATGATGGTTTTGTTTATTTGTTTTGGTTTGTTTTTTTTTTGGGATTTAGTTTATGTTTATCTTCTTCTTCTTATACTTCGTTTTTTGTTTCGGCGGTATCGTAAAGATGTCAATGTTATTTAGATGCAAATGTACTTTGCCGCGCCATGCCGATTAGCAGTGTTTGTGGATTCACCCTCCTGAGTGTGTGATTGCGATTTTTTTGTTGTTGTTCTGATTTGCCTCTCAGCTGAGTGGCAGACCGCAACCCAATGTCATTCTTGCATGGAAAACCACGATTGATGGAGTGGGGGAGGAGGTGGACAGGGACTTGAACATCAAAAATTCAACATTCCCAGATATGATAGTATTCCGAAGTATCCCCTCAGATGGTAGAGAGGGAATTTTTTTCGAGGTGTAGTTTTTTCGTGTTGGTTTTTGAATCATTGAAAGCATAAATCTTGACGATGTATGTGTGTATTATGAGCTGGTATCTGTGTGTGTGTGTGTGTCTGTGTGCTATTTCGACCATAATACCGGGTAGAATTTATTTTATGCACATTCAGCTACTCCTCCTTTTTCTCTGGTGGGGCTGGTGGTGCTAATGAACTTATCCTTACTTTCCGTTTGTTTCATCGTTCCTCCCGCCACCAATACCAATTATGTTGCCTTGCCGGTCATCCATTGTATTGTTGTTGTTGTGCATGCGTGTTTTTCTTTTTTTTATTTAGTCTTCTTCTCTGTCAATTTAAAGCAAAACTGTCATTAAACCATTGATCTTATTTCCCAAGAACCATTTCCCAAAAAATATTATGACATTTCTTCAAAAGTTCCCCCCCCCCGCACTCCCCCCAAAAAATCAATGTTCTTTAATTTTTTAGGAAAACTAAAAAAAAAGATATTTTTTCCTTAGAAATTGTTGTCCACTTTTTGTTGTTGTTGTTGTTGTTCGAAGCCCTAATCATGATCTTTCACAAATTTAGTGCATCAGACAGCCAGCCAGTCCAATAGCCAACCAGCCAGACAGTCTAATTTTGGTTGGCTGCTTTGAATGGTGTCTAACGAATTTGTTGTTGTTTTTATAAAAAAACGATGTTTGTTGTTTTTGCTGTTTCGGTGTTCCATCTGTTTACAATTTTACATGAGATCATAATATGAAAACAACAAAAACAACAACAAAATCTGTGATCTATTTTTGGCTGACACAGAGCATTGCTCTGTTCTGCTATGTGTTTTTTTGTGGATCTGGAAGAGGGGTAGGTTGGTTTGGCAAAGCACCAGCACAAGCGCAGATTACAAATATATGCTCAATAGCCCATTAAGGAGCGGATTTTTTTTAAAACATTGTTTCAAAGCGCAATTTTTTTAAAAATAGGTTCAATTTTTTTTATACCCTACACAACTATTTTGTCAGGGTATTATAGCTTTGTGCAGCCCCAAGTGATTGTAACGCCGCGAAATATTGATCCTAGACCCACCTTTAAGAATACCGAGCATCATATCTCGACAAGCTGAGTCGATCTAGACATTTGTGTCCGTCCATCTATCCATTATAATTAGTAAACACAATACAGGCCACACTTATGGACCAATCATCACGAAATTTTGCACGTAGGACCGGTTCTGGCCAATGAAGATCCCTATTGTTTTTTTTTTTTTTTTTTTTGCAAAGATCGGTTAATATTTAGGGGATGAAATGGACCAAATACTTAATTTTTGTCGGTTTTTATTGTCGCTCCAGTGGCCGCAATTATGGCTCGAACATCACGAAATTTTATATGGAGAAGGGGATCGGGTCAAAGAATAAGCA